TTGGGCATCAATTTTTTTTTTTTTTTCATCATCCCTGTCATAATAATACCATCAATATACACTATGAAATTGTAACTTTCATTGGATCTAATTGCTTGATAAATAAGATGTGATATCATCAACTCTACTTATATCCAAAGTCTAATACATTGCTTGAGTCCATAAAGTACTTTCTTCAATTTACATACTTTACCAATTTACACACTTGAGATTTTTTATATCAAATTATTGTAGTTGTCAATTAAAGTGGACAATTAGAGATGACAAAATCCATTGGATTCATCTTAGCAATTGGTGCGAATATTTCTAAATAATCTATCTCATAAGTTTTGGTATAACATTTGCCTACCAACCTTACTTTGTACCTTTCTGTCATTCTATCAGCCTTGTATTTTATTGTGAACACCCTCTTGTATCATATAGGTTTTTTTTATTTGGACAAGTTCACCACTTCTAATATTTGGTTCTTTTCTAGTGTCTGCATTTTAATATATACCAAGAATGATGTGTTGTGTTTATTATTGAATACATAACAGAAATGAGATATGCCGATGTGTGTGTGATGGCCGTGGGAACCCAGAAGCCAAGATTAGTGATGCCCCAGGAAATTTTGATGGCTATGATGGAGAAATAGTGAAATGATTTTGTCACTTTCCTCTTTTCTTTTTTGTTCTTTTTGTTTTTACATATATTTACGATTTATATTATTAATGATGGTAGGAGGTAAAATTTTTCAACTTTTGAGGCTTCTGATTTACAGAGGGAGAGGTCCATAGGGAGATTTTGGAGATAGATTTTAGAGACAATTTAAAAGAGAACAAATAATAGAGGAAGGAATGAACGAGGATGGAGAAGAAATAGGGTTGCGTTTGTCTGATGTGGCATCCACATAAAGGAAGGAGGAAGACAGAAATAGGGTTTCAGATGTATTCGTCCAATGTGCCAGCCACGTGGATGCCAGGTTAGAAAAAAGTTACACGCTCGTCTAATTCGAACACCACATGAAGCTGTTTAATAGGTATTTGATGGCTATTATATAGGACGAAAATGGATAAGAAATGCTATAAGGGCTTATAGGGAAAAAATGGAAATAGTGCAGAAACCATTTGAGTAACTTAAGCAAATTTTTTTAATTAGTCTTTTATTTTTCTAAAAAAAATTTATCACTATTTTGATACTTTTTAATACTTTTACCGGTAATTTACTGATTTTATTAGTTTTGTTTATTGTTATTTATTATTTATTTATTTTTAGAATTTTAATTTTCAATTCTTTTAGGCCAGGTTGGGCACAAGCCGTAAACTTGGGGTCTCAGGCTGACCCAAATGATCAGCTTGGTCCAGTTATCCTCTGCCGAGCTCATAACAGGCAGGGCTTGTCTGGATCCGTTGACTTTGTTAACTGGGCTGAGTTTACCCAGCCTGGGTGGGCCAACTTGTGGGTCGCTCATTTTGCTATTATTACTTGTTTGGCTATCCCCTAGGAGGCAATTTTCAGCTTATTTCCTTGTGGGATTCGTGTGGTAGGATTCCTAAGCAGCTTAAGTGTTGAAAAAGAGCTCTTTTTCTCCTTGGTGGTAGAGTTACTCTTATTCAAGTTTGTCTTTAGCGCCCTCTTTGTTATCTATTTATTAAAGTTTTCTAGATGTGTCATTGAGAGTAATGAGAGGATGATGAGAAATTTCATTTGGTTTGGGTAGTGCGAAATCATGACGGTGGTGTAATCAGGTGGGAATTTGTGTTGCATGTCTAAATCTGATGGGGGTCTGTATATCAGGATGAATACAACAGTGACTTTTTCTAAACGTACAACCTAATGCTTTGATTAGAAGCTAAATGAATCAAATAGAAAGTTAATATTTATTTATTTTAAATACAAATAAAATGTTTTTTTTTTAAAATGAGAAATACAATTAAAATGTTATTATTGTCGTTATGTTAGAGAAATTGTACTTGTATTTTTACAAGTACTTAAAAAAAAAAATGTAATCTAAGAATCTATCTGGATAGGACATTGACTATCCTAGAAGCTACTTTTATAAGACGTTAACTATACGAAAGATTATGTGAGAAATATCCTGTTATTCATTAATAGAGTATATTAGTTATATTCTTATTGTCTAATTCAGCTTTTTTTTTTTTAATTTAGAAATATATGGAAACAAAAGAACTGAATTCTTTTAGTGGGTAGAAGTTGGACAGAGATAATGCAAAGGGAACTAGAATGATTTTTTAATGAAAGAAAATTGAGTGTTATGTTTTTTTTTTCTTTTCTTCATGGTAGTGGGCTAGGAATGGCTAGAAAGTGAGGTCGGGAACGAACTGTTGGATTTACTAAGTTCTGTGGCCTGCTACTCCAGTTACCAAGTATAAATTTAAATATCGTTCTTGTTATTGAGCTGATGTAATATTACATGATAGTTAAGGGGATACCTATGAATAGGAAAAGGAACACTAAGTCTATAAACTTACTATATAGGATATTATCTATATAGGAAAAGCTTTATTGGAAATACTCTGTTATTCTCTAATAGACAGTATATGAAACTTAGATCACATCATGGTTTTAGATATGTGGAGGACTTGGATGATCTTTTTCCTGTTTAAGTTTTAATTGATTATGCATCAAACTGGGTCAGGTTGTCTCCCAATGTTGCAAGAACATGATTATTAGCCTAAGTTTAGGTGTTTATTATCACTATAGATTTCTAAAATTATTATTTTTCCTGTTCCCTAAATTTAGTGTATTCTCTCTCTCTCTCTCTCTCTCTCTCTCTCTCTCTCTCTCTCTCTCCCTCCCTCCCTCCCTCTCTCTCTTAGAAACAATGCACTGTTTGTGTTTTGCTATAACAATGGCGACTTTAGATCTAACTTGTTTTTCTGTGTATTAGGCATGGGGTAATTTCTGTCACTATGTATAACTTTGGATCTCCTAGAGTTGGTAACAAAAGATTTGCAGACATTTATAATGAGGTAAGGAACATTTTACTATGTGATTTTGAAGTCAGGTTTTGTAGCACTTTTATCTATGATGAAGTTTCAGGTCAAAACCTCATATTCTCTGTTCCTTGTTATTAATTTGAGATACTTTTGTGATATAAGTCTGACATTCATTTGTTTTTACCATGCAGAAGTGCCTAATAGGCTTCATGATGGTAGCTATATATATTTTTTTATGAATGTATATGTATATGCTTCTAACATATGCTGCATTTATCCAGATGATGTTCCTCATCTAATGCTGCCTTTGGAAGTTTGTTTGATGTGCTTTCACGATTAAAAGATAGTAATCGTTTGTTTCTTCACTGTGGGATAGTTTGGAGCATTTGAAATAGATTATTTTCTTTTTCATGTTTCTTTGTTTCTTCACTGTGGGATAGTTTGGGGTATTCGACATAGGTTATTTTCTTTTTCATGTTTCTTGAAGTATGTACTCCCAAGTTGTGGGTCTTTATGTGGTTTTAGTTAGTAAGGATGAAAAGATGCTTAAGAGATTGCTGATATTTACGAGGTTATGGGTCCTTTGGTTGGAGATAAATATCAGAAATGGTCTCAACTGTTTGATGACATTTGAGAGAGGATAATTTTTAGCTTCTCCAAAAGCCCATTGTTTCTTTAGGGATTTTTTTTATTTACTGCACAAAGAGATTTGGTTGCTATGATGTGTTATTAATGAATTTGCTTTTTGGTTCTTTGAGATAAGTTCTCCCTCTTGGCATCCTTTTGGGCTAAGGCACGGGGCAGTTTAAAGATTTATCATTGTATGTTCTGCATAGAGATCAGATAGTTGGTCTTTCTTCTTTTCTTCCTTTTTTCAAAATCTTTTTCATTTGGGAGCATATCTGATCCTCCATCTTTACTACCTTTTATCTCTTATTAATAGCACTTCTTTTTCTATCTAAAAAAGATAAAGCTTTACTTTTTCTCTTGCTACTTTTTTCTGTCTCTTTTACGATTGCGTATCCTCCTTTTGTTTGTACTTTTTTTTCTCTCCCCCTAATGATACATCTTCTTCTATTAAAAAAAAGAAAATATCAGCCTCAAAGTATTGAAAAAGAGCATGCTTCTTTTGAGACTTCATCTATACACCTCTTCTTGGACTTGATTGTGCACTTGTTTCTCCTCCATACAAGGGCACAAAGCTTTAATGGCATATGATATGTACATCTTCCCTCCGGGAGTTTTGCTACTGTTAATGTCATAAGAACTTTTCTCATATTTATTTACATTCTTTTCTTATTCTCTGTAAGGTTATATTTCGAAGAATAAAGAGTGTACATTTCATTTTTAAATAATTTAGAATAATTTCTTCTCATTCAATAAATCATGACATATAAGATATTTATGAGAACTAATTGCATTTTTCGCATTGTTTTTGTATCATGGCATTCTGATATATCTTTATTTCAAGTAGTTTTAAACTAGCTCTCCTTTTGTTGATTTTGTGATTGTTGTTTCCTTCATGCTTAGTATGAGACATATGCCAAAGTTACTAACAAATTGAAGAAAACTATTGTTGAGGTAATGTTGAGTCTAGTTGGACATTGTTGCTATTTTTGCTGAATCTTTGTTACCCATGTTTCATTATATATCAAGTAAGAACCTCTGGGAGTTGTCATGTTTCCTTGTTACTTTATGATAGCTGTCTTTCTTTCAAGCTTAGTATAAGCCTTGGCGCTGAAGTTACAAAAAATTTGAAGCTAAGGATGCCCAAGTTGAGTCTAGCTGATACAGAACAAAAGGATCCTAATTTGGAACGAATTTTGTATTAAAGTAGTTTTTTGTAATAATTATTCAGTATAGTTGACTTAATAGTTAAGACAGATTTCAAGTTATTAGTAACTTAGGTGGTTGAGGTAGATTTTGAGTTATAAAAGCTTTTGATTTCCTCTTTTATTATTTTAATATTTTCCTAGTAGTTGTAACTAACGCTTATATAAAAGCAGTGGCAACAATATAGAGTAAACAACGATAAATTAAAAATTCTTTTGCTTTATGATAATCTTTTTCTGTATTTTGTTATTATTTTGTTTATCCTATCTCGTTCAGTCTACTTTCTCCGCATATTTTTTACGTTGATCTATTTTTATTCTTTGCTTTTTCATATTATTTTCTCTGTTTCTAAATCACCAATGAACATGTTAGTTTCAACACTGCTTGTCCTGCATCACTGGCTAGATATTCTTGTTACTTTCTTCGGGTAATTGTTAGCCATCCTTTCCATTATATGCCTATTTCAGATGGTTATGTTTTTTGCTGATTGTTCCTTATTTCCTTTATCTAATTGCTTAATTGGTCATGCTTGCTATTTTTTTTTTTCGGTCTTTGATTTTCTTCTTTCAGCTCCTCAGTATTTGTTTTCCATCAATTCAGTTTTAATAACAATGGCAGGAAAAATCTCAGGGATAAGAAAAAAGAAAGAAAGTTGGAATGTTTTATTATTCATTTTGTTTCACTCGGCTTGGACATTGACAATCTCTTTATCTCTTCTTCGATGTTACCTCATAAAACAAATCATTTTCATCCCTCTTTTGTCTTGGTTAATTTTCACTGAATCTTGTTCCTGATGCTTGTAGAAAGTTAAAGATAGCTGGAGAGTTGTAAACCATAGAGACATAATACCTACTGTTCCTCGCTTGATGGGTTATTGCCATGTGGCTCAACCTATTTATCTAGCAGCTGGAGATTTAAGAGATGCCTTGGTGAGTCAAAACACAGAACTCTGCATCTGATTAATTGTTAATGCTGTGCCACCAATCTGTGTAACCTGGCTTCTCATGACGTATCTGCTAATATTTTGTTTACTAAAGGCTCATCTTTGCTATGTAAATTAAGGCTGCTGACTTACAAAGTCAATCTTTTACAGTGTTTTGATGTACTTTAAAGTGTCTACCTAGCAAAGTACCTCAATCTACTGTCTCAGTATTAAGAAATTAATCGTTCTATAAATAAGATACCGATATAGAATCCAACTAATATGAAGCTTTAATTTGATATGGTTTCTGTAATTGATTTTCCTTTTTTTATTCTTTGTAACAGTTATATATATCTCCATGTATATGCTGCTTCTCAATATACAATTTCTCTTTGTAACGGTTACTCTTCTCCAAATATCTCTGGCTCTCATTGCTGTTTATGCTCGAAATTTGCAATGTAACATATGCTGGCTATCTCTGTGTGTATCTGTCCACACCAAAACCAGCCCTTATGCATTCTCTCCTCTGCTCCCATCATCTTTGTTCATGTGGCCTTCATTGCGACTCAGCTAAAGCCGGCCTCTGTTGCTGACTCTCTTACTGGACTTGAATTGTATGCAGCCTTAATTGTTAGGATCCTTATCCTATCTCTCTATTGCCAGATCCTTGTAGGCGGAGCCTGATCCTTGTCCTCTTTCCTCTCTACATGCAAATCCTTTTCTGAACACCCACCAAAATATTACATCTCCTTGTTTCTTAGCTGTCAAGGTTTTCTGGAAGGTTTTTGTTCTCTCAAAAGTGAAGATTTTTACTTGGACTACATCATACACTGAACACAAATTACTTGCTTCAAGTCGGTGGTCCTTATGGTGCTGTTTCTCCTGACGTGTGTGTGATGTGCTTTAGAGGAGAAGTAATGCATTCCCACTTATTTTTACACTGTGAGGTCGCACAGTGTCCTCTGTAAACAAAACGAATCATCTCCCACATTCAATTGGGTTAAGGGTGAATATATTAGTCGGGCTTGCGAGATGGCGTTCCAGAGATTTTTGTGAGATGTGGATCATCCTGCTAGAGCCTCCCAACATTCCTGCAACCTCTAAGATACTGTTGATTATTCTGTAGCTCAAAATGTTCGGTGTGCATTGACAAAACTCCGGTCGATATAGTTGTTGTGTATTGACCAAATCCTAGGAGATATGACTTACAGCTATATAGTAAGTCAATACTATGAATTGTTTATTAAGTATTAAGTAAAGATGGCAGAAGTCTAAATATGTAATTTCTTGTACGTCACAATAAAAATAAAAAGTCTCGTGTGTAGGCAAATACAAGCTTCTAGGCAAATTATTCTGAATCTCAAAATGTACATAAACTGTTCATTTTTGTTGCAGATACGTTTTTAAATTTTTTAAGTTCTTAGAGAACTTATAAGCTCCCTTTTGACAAAAATTAAAACTAAGGCAAACACTCCCCATAGTCTAGTTCTTTTTCATTGTCACGGAGTTTTAGTTGTTAAGCGAGAGCACATTTGGAGATATTTGTGTGTGTGTGTGTGTGTGCGTGTTGAAAACTAGTAGAGTTTTCTTAACATTTCAAATAAAAAATCTCCATATTCTTTCAGAAACATTTGGGACCAGATTAGCTTGATATCTAGGTTTTTGCTGCTATATTGTTTTAATTGGAAACTCAATTTGTTTGGCAATGGTACCTTCTTTTGTCATCTGATAATAATTCTTTTTATATATTTGGCAGTGTTTGATATCTAGGTTTTTCTGATGATGCATGAAACAAATGAATCAATTAGTTAATGGTTGTAACTAGTTGTAAACTTTTGATATGTTTTTCAGGAAAATATGGAGCTTATGAAGGATGGTTACCATGGTGATGTGATTGGGGAGTCCACACCTGATGTCCTTGTCAGTGAATTTGTATGTTTCTCATCACCTGATCATCTATTATTTTTTCTTATTAGTGAAATTCATGTTGAGTAAGCCTAGAAGATGGGATTGTGTAATATTTAGAGGCTTAGGAG